TTTCATTTCTTTGGGATATATACCCAGAAATGAGATTGCTGGATCATAGGGTACAGTAGTTCTATTTCTAGTTTTTTGAGGAACCTCTATACTATTTACTGTGTGTCTTACTAATTTATGTTCTTACCAAGGGCACCTAAGGGTTGCCCTTTCTCTGAACCATCAGCATTTGTTACTTTTTGTCTTTTTGATGACAGACATTCTGACTGTAATGAGAAGACATCTGCCATAGTCTGTGTTTTAAATACACCCCAAAGGCCTGTGTATTGCAATTGTGGTTTCCAGCCTGTGAGCTACTGAGAGGTAGAAGAATCTTTAAGAGGCGAGGCCTATTAGGAAGTTAAGGCACCAGAGGGGGCGTGTCCTTGAAGAGGACATTGGAACTGTGCCCTTTCCTCTCTCTCTCCCTCTCTCCCTCTCTCTCCCTCTGTTTCCTGATCACAGTGAGGTGAGCAGCTTCCTCTGCTAAGTACCCCACCATTTTTACCACAGGCCCCAGACCACTAAAATGGTGAGACGCGCTAAACCGTTCCTCTGTGTAAGTAGAATCATCTCCGGTATTTGTTACAAAAATGGAAAGCTGACTAATACGATGTCTTATTATTCTCTTTCGGTTTGCATTTCCCAGGCGGTGAGTGTTATGTTTTAGGTGGAGAATGTCCCCAAAGGCCTCATGGGCTCATAGGCGGAGCTTTTGGGAGGTACTATGCATCAGAGTCGCTGTTAAGAAGTGGAGTCTGGTCTGAAGGGTCACTGGCTGTGTGACTTAGAAGGGTGTACCACCCTGCCCAGCTTCTGCCTTCTCTCTGCTTCCTCGATGCCATGATTTAGGTTGCTTTTCCTCTGCTGCGCCCCTCTGTCATGTCATTGTGCCTTGGAGCTTGCTGATTGGAGAAAAAACTGTGGGCCCAAAGGAACCTCTCCTTCTAGGAACTGTGGGTGTCACATACTTTGTCCCAGCAACAAGAAAAGCAACTAAGGCAGTAACATCAAACACTTTTTTGTATGTTTTTAGTTATTTGTGTACCTTCTTTTGAGAAGTTATTTGGATCATTTGCCAATTTTTAAATTTTACGTAGGGGTGTTGGTTTGACATTTTTAAGTACCTTATATATTATGGATATTAATCCATAATATTAATCCATCTGGCCTTTTCTAGGGCCAGATGTGGTGGTGCATGCCTGCAATCCCAGCCCTCGGGAGGCTGAGGCAGGTGGAGCACTGTGAGTTTGAGGCCAGCCTGGGCTACAAAATGAGTTCTAGGCCAGCCTGAACTGCATAGTGAGACCCTGTCTCAAAAAGACAAAAAAAAAAAATCCCTTTTCCAATGAATAGTATGCAAATATATTCTCCCTTCCTATAGATTATCGTCTCACTCTTGTTTCCTTTGTTGGCAGAAACTTCCTAGTTTGACATAGTCCTATTTGTGTATTTCTGCTTTTGTTGCCTGTGTTTCTAGGGTCTTATCCCAAAAGTCAACCCTATGCCAGTGTCTGAAAGTTGTTTCTACTATTCTTGCTTAGTTTCAATTTTGGGTCTTACACCTAGGTCTTTGACCCATTTTGAATGCATTTGTTATATAGGAAGAGAGGTAGGAATCACATTTCGTTCTCTGGGTTCTGGGTGGGTGTGTTTTTGTTGTTGTTGTTCAGTTTTTGTTTTAGGAGTACTGGGAATTGAACTCTCGGAGCACTGAGCTGCATTCCCAAAAACATTTTTTATGTTGACACAGGTTTTATCTAAGTTGCCCATGTTGGCCTCAAGCTTCCAGTTCTCCTTCCTCAACCTCCTAAGAAGTTGAGACTGTAGGTGAAGTCGTTAGGTTTTTCTCTACATAAAATCATGTCATCCTGGATATGTGGATAATTTGAGATCCTTCTCTGCCATTTGGATCTCCTTTATTTGTTTGTCTTGCCTATTTGCTCTGGCTAAGGCTTTGAGTACTGTGCCAAATAAGAATTATAAAAGCAGTTGTCCTTGTCTTAGTCTGCCTTAGAGGAAATGCTGTCATCTTTGCTCCTTTCATTATGTTTGCTGTAAATATATCATAGATTGTGTTGAGGTAACTTGCTTCTATAAATAATTTGTTTTTGTCTTGAAGGAATGTTGAATTTTATGGACTCCCTTTTCTATATCAGTCAAGATGATCATATAGGGCTGGGGATGTGGCTCAGTGGTAGAGCTCTTGCCTTGCATGCACAAGGCCCAGAGTTTGATCCCCAGCACCACATACATAAAAAAAAAAAAACCAATCATAATAAATAAATAAATGTTAAAAAAATTAATAAAATAAAAATTAAAAAAATTTTTTTAAAAAAAGATGATCATATAGCTTTTGTGTTTATTCTGTTGCTGTGATATAACTTTTGTTGATTTACACATGCCAAATCATCTTAGCATCCCTGGGACAAACTTTACTTGATTATAGTGTTTCTTTTATGGTCTGTTGAATCTGACCTAATATTTTTGCACTACTGTTCTGCAGGGATATTGGTCTGTAGTTTTAATTTTTTGTTGTGTCCTTGTGTGGTTTTGGTGTCAGTAATGCTGGTCTCATACAATGCCTTTTGTTTTCTTTCTTACTTTTTTTTTTTCTTACATGCAGATAGCATACTTTAATCATCTCCCTCCATCACCTGCCTTGCTCCTACTCTCCACCTCTGGAATGACTTGAAAGGTTCTCTCCCTTTTAATTTTTGAAAGGAATAGTTTGACAAAAATTGCTATTAACTTAGAAGTTTGGTAAAATTCAGCCGTGAAGCTGTACAGTGCTGAGCTTTGCTTTATTGGGAAAGTTTTAATAAAAGATTCATCCTTTTGACTCATCATAGGTCTATTCAGTTTGCCTGTATCTTCAAGGTTAGAGTTTTTTCCGGTTATGTGTGACCCAAATTTACCCATTTCATCACAGTTTCCGAGTTTCTTGGTGTATACTTATTCATACAGTCACCAATGATCCTTTTTATTTCTGTGGTATCTGTGTTGATTTCTCCTTTGTCATCTCTGATTTTATTTATTTGGGTCTTTTTCTTTTTTTCTTTGTGAGTCTGACTTAGAGTTTGTTGATTTTCTTAATATTTTTTTAAAAACTCAGCCTTTTATCTGCCTTTTGTAATTTTTTGTCGTGTACTTATTTCTACTCTGATATTTGTTATTTCTTTCCTTCTGTTAATTTGGGGCTTGGCTTCTGTCCGAGTTACTTCCCTCATGGCTAGAACAAACTACCTCACACCCCCAGCTTAAAAAAGGAAAGTTTTATTTTGTCTCATGTCTCCATCCATAGTTGACTGGTTCCAAGGCAGGACAGCTTGTCTCGGGGGCAGGACAAAGGAGAGCTACTCACTGCATTGCAGAGAGAGTCAAGGGAGATTGAACCTTCTGGGCCATGCCCACACCAACCCACTTCTTCCAATCAGGTCCCACTGCTTAACAGCAAGTCTGCTATAAACTCTCATAATCCAGTCATTGTTCTGAGGTCCTGCCTGTGATGCATGAGTGTGGTGGTGGGGAGCCAGGAGATGTAACTAAGGCAGATTTTGGTACCATTAAGTGGGGACATTGTGCTGATGCTACATGACTCTGGGTTTAGAATACTTTTGAACTGGTTCACAGGAAGAGTTTGGAGAAGTTTGGATATGCCATAAAATGCTATAAGCTGAACTTGGTAGGAGATTCTGGTCAGAGCTCAGAAGACCAGAAGCTGATTTTAAAAAGTGGACTGAAAAGAATAGGCTCATGAGGTTTCAGTAGGGAACAGGGATTCCACTGGCAGTTGGACTCCAGGCTGTGTGTGTTATGCTGTGGCAGAAAATTGTCGTATGTTTTGCTCATGTCCTGAGACTTTGTGGGGCATTGAGATTCAGGGTGGTGGACTAATTAACCTGGTGGAGGAAATTTCAAGGCAGCCCAGCATTCAGGCTGTGGCATGGATATTGTTGGGAGCTTTTAGCCAGCTCCACATTGAGAATCAAAAGCAAACAACACAGCTGAGTGATTTTTAAAAAGTTTTCAGTTTTACTACAGAGAAAGAACCTGCAAAAATGGAATAGAGGAGAGCTTAGTTACTGAAAAGATTAGCATCAAAAAGAAGCCATAGGGGCTGGGGATTTAGCTCAGAGGCAAAGCGCCTGCCTGGCAAGCGCAAGGTCGTGAGTTTGGTTCCTGGTACCGGAGAAAAACCAAAAAAACACAAACAAACAAAAAAAGAAGCCATATACAGTAAAACCTTGGTTTATGAAAATAATTTGTTCTGCTTATAATCCAAAGCACTTGCATATCAAAGCAGCTAGAGAGAGAGAGAAGAACCAGTTGTGATCACGTGACATTTAACATGAACATTTAACATGACTACTAATTGTATTGCAAAACATCACTTGTTTTATCCAGTTAAAATTTCTTAGAAGTGTATACTCATTTTGCAGGACACTTACAAACCAAGTTACTTGCAATCCAAGGTTTGACTGTAAAGTGATACCTGTGTTTGTGAACTTAATTTGACCCACAATTCTGGAAAAGATGGCCATGTTCATATTCATGCAGGAAAGATGGCTGCAGTTGGGTTCGTCACCTGATGCAGAGTTTGCAAACAAAAATAAAATTTGCTGAAGATTTCTGCTTACAAACTAAATTGTTTGCAAACAAAAGTGTTTATAAACCACTGTACTTTGGATCGGGACACAATTGGAAAAGTACCTTGAGGGCATGTGAGGAGCCAGTGTGGCTCTATCCTTCACAGGTTCAAAATTGCAAAGATGAAAGACTTTACCTTGAGAAGAGAGGGCCAGGGCATTGTGCTCCAGAATGGCAGCTACCTAGGGAATTTATTCCCCAGGATTCCATTCATAGTGCTCAACGATCGAGGCGCTCATAGAGACCTCTGTAGCCATGACACAAGGCAGCCCAGCTTCTGCTCTAGCTGACAGCAGACCTTGGGATTATCCACATGGTGCTGGTTTACAGGCATACACAATGCAAGAGTTGTGGTGTGAGAGAGGCTTCCACCCAGATTCAGAAGAAGGCTTGAGAGGCCAGGCAGTGTGCCCTCAGATATCAGTGTGTGAAGCAGAATAAAGCCAAAAGTGCAGTGGATATCCCAGAAAGTTGGAGAACCTAGAAACAGAACATCTGAGGAAAGCCACAAAGAGTAAGTAAAGCCAGTGCAAGAGAGAAGCCATGAGAGCTATAACCACTAGCAGTGCCATTGGGATGGGGCCACCATAGCCCTTTCATGACTCTCTACAAATTGCCTTGGACTCTGGATATGGAAATAAAGGGTTTACTGTTCGCCCTGCTAGGTTTTGGTCCTGCTTCGTTCCATTGACTTCTGGCACCCTACTTCTCCCTTTTGGAATGGGAATGTTTACCCTGTGCCACTGTCTGTTGGTAGTGTTTAACTCTCTTTTTTATTTTTACAAAGGCTCACAGCTAAAAGATTGCTTTAAGTCTTGGAGGAAACTTTCAGCTTGGACTTCTCAGCAGCGTCAGAACTGCTAGGACTTTGGCAACTCTTAGAGATGGGTTATATGCATTTTGCTTAAAGATATGTACATAGGGGCCAGGAGTAGAATGCTATGGTTTGTATCTAGATTGCTGTTCAGAGCCCCATGCCTTCAGTTTTGGGGAAGTGATTGGATTACAGGAACACTGTACTAATCAGTGGGTTTCTGATGCGCTTCAACTGATGAGTTGCAACTCTTGCATTGTGTATGCCTGTAAAACCAGCACCATGTGGATAATCCCAAGGTCTGCTGCCAGCTAGAGCAGCAGTTGGGCTGCCTTGTGTCATGGCTACAGAGGTCTCTATGAGTTCCTAGCTAAATGTCAAGCTAGGAGATGGGATCTGGTCAGAAAAGGTGGGTCACTGAGGGTGTGGCCTGGAAGGGTCTCTCACCCTGGCTCCTCTCTCCTCTGTTTCCTGGTGAACAGCTTTTGAATGTTAGCAGCGTGGTTATTCTTAGATTTAAAAGGATCCCGGAATAGATATTCCTGTTGAGGTACTACCCTATACCAGAGAAAGGAGTTAGAAAAGATTTCTGACTTGCCAAAATAAATATCACACACAAAACAAAATACTGTACTTAAAGGCCTGTATTTTATTGTGGGTAAGTCCCATAAATCCTTCTTTAAAATTTACTGTTGTTTTATAGGTAGTTCTAGCAAGATTATCTAGATCATTCACTGTGGGACTTTAGAAACTGCAAGTTTCCCTACTCTCTGTACTTTATCAAAAGAAGCAAGATAGTAAACATTTTATTTAAATGCAAACTTTGAATGGAATTCAAAGCATTGTGCCTTTGGAATTGGAATTCTTTAGCATTGTGCCTTTACACACATAAAGAAGCTCAAAGTTGTTTGTTTTTTAAAAGAATTTGACATTTTATAAGTTGTAATTATCAGAATTTCTTGTGCTTTTTAGTGAAACTGTGTGACAAAGTAAGAAAATGAACAGTGCTGATTAATGTAATGGAAAATCTGAGAAAAAGAATATCGCCTATATTTAACGATGACAGGGTAAAACTCAACCTCAGTATATTACCCAAAAAAGTACAGAATTTCTCCCCCATACTTTAGGTTGATCTTGAAAATTCCAGGAGAAAGTGAATTCTGAATTGAAACAAATTAATGAAAAAAGTTTTTTCTCATCTTAAATGGAGCCTAGTAAAACCCTGTAAATATTTTATACTCACTAAAATAAAATTATAAAACAACATTTAATTAAGATTTCATGGCTAATTATTCATAACACAATTGGGGGGATGGCAGTGAGAATAAAGGACAAAGGTAGTATAGATGGCAGAACAGAAGTAGCATTTTTGTAATAGTGATTCCAAATATTTCAGTCTTGGGGCTCTGCTCTCGGAAGGAAAAAGAAAAAGAACCTTGTGAATTCTTAGGATCAGCTATGTTCTGGCATGGATTTTTCCTGAGCCTCACAGAAAAAGTATTCCAGCACACAGGAAGTTCTCTTCTTTGTCTTTTTTCTATCAGGAATTCTTTAGCATTGTGCCTTTACACACATAAAGAAGCTCAAAGTTGTTTGTTTTTTAAAAGAATTTGACATTTTATAAGTTGTAAATTAACAAAACTTACTACACAGACACATATTCCACTCATGATTTAGTCTTTCCCTAGCAGTTTTAGAGAAAAGCTTTAAAAATAGAGTTAGACATCCAAGATCCCAGATACACAATGTATCTACATATACAAAAGAAACTAGTTAGGTGATATTCAGTTGAAGTAAAGTTCAGAGAACCATGTACTCTTCCTCATCGTCACCTTTACAGCTGCAACAGACATTTTGGTTTTATGGTGTACAGTAAATCATTATCTGTGGATACTTCACCATTCTCGTTTCTGAAAAAGCTAGACATGTAATATAACTTGTTACTAAAGAATTTGGAGTGACGGGAGATTTTGGCAACAATAACTTTGCTATTTAGCCTCACAAATGAATAGAATTATAAATAAGATTTTTATGAGAAGATTTTGAAAAACAACCCAGAAAGTCAACAGAAAGCAGATATTTATCATTATTAGTCTCTCAACCCATGAAAAGAGAAAATACACAGGAATAGGTGACACTTTGTCTTCAGTAGAGAGGAGAAATGATACTTCATGGAGATACTTTAGAGCACCCTTGGATTAGGTGACCAGTAGACCTCATAGTCTCACTTGATAAAAGAACTCTTAGCTTACCTTGTAAATTCTTTGACAGTTCATTTCATCACAAAGAAAAGCATTACATAATAGGTAAAAACACACTGGTTTGGGAATGATTTCTATTTTGCAGATATGAGACTTTGGAAGAGTTATTTAACCGAGCTGCTTCTTGGTTTTTGTCACTGTAAGATATGTATATGTAGTCAATTTTTCTGTGTTGTGAACAAGCTGGAAATCACAGTGGCTTACATTAACAGTGTCACATTATCCTCATTGTATCTGCTGAGACATGGTTCAGCTGCAACTTTCCTCTGTCTGGGTTCCATGTTCCACTGTGAGGCCCAGGCTGAAAGACCCTTAGCAAGACTGGTTCTTTGCTGTGGCTGAAAGAAAGGATGAGAGAGCTGGTGGATGGACACCTGGCACAGGTAACTTTCAGCATCATTTTACTGGCTAAAGAAAATCTCCATCCAGGCCAGCATTAATTGAGCAGAAAAGTACACTTCCCCCACAGCCAGCCAGCAAACCTCATAACAATCGTTCAAGAGGGAAGAAGAACCTAAGAAAGGATGACAGTATCTACTTACCACTCCAAACCTTTGTGAGTCTCAAATAAGAAAAGTTATGTAAAAGTTCTTTGTAATCTAATGCATGCTGTGATGTTAGAATTGCCATCAACTTTAAATAGTTCCTTTTAACATGTTCACGATGGGGCCGTAATTCGTATGTCTCCTTGTTAGGCAGCTCTAAACCACCCGTAGTACATGTAATGACTGTCCCATGTGGTGACATGAGGTAGTCCCATCAAACAGCTTGTACCACCAGATGGGACAGTCATCCATGTACTACCAGAAGTTCCAGCCAGCGGGAATGTGTTAATGTTACTTATTTCAGGAATCCAGGTGGATTTACCTGTCACCTTTCTATTCTTACCACAATCATTGTAAAGCTTTTACCCAGTCTCTCAGTTGTAGTCTTACAAAAGCTATGTATTTTGACTTTATATGTTTATGTTTTTTAAATGTCACAATTATAATCACTTTTATTTATTTTCCACTTAATAAACATATAGAATCCTTTCAAAGATATTTGTGTCATCTAAAAAAGTTTTTGCAGTTTTTCCCTGGTGATTAAAGTGATAAATTAGAAAGATAAGGAAGAAATTTTAAAGCACCCTCATATTTAAAGCCCTGTGTTAATACCCCAAACACACAAAGCATATTTATAACATATAAAAATTAAAATTCTGTATACACAATTACTAATTTTTAATGAATTATACACTGTATTTTCTACTTATGTTTAAACACGTATTTTGCTGATCATTAAATACTAGCATTTTAATATGTAAAATTAATATGTACAATTAATATATAATTCATACATACTTTCAAAACCCAATAACAAAACAAGCCCACTACCTGACCTAAGAATTAGACCACTTCAGGTCTGTGTGATCCTCTGCTGTCCTTCCCATCACAGTAACTAGTAGTCTCCAATTCATGTATTATCTTTACTGCTTTCCTTTTTCACTAAGTATTTTTATATATGTGTATGTCTCCAAATAGTGTGTCATTTGAGTTTTGCTTGGTTTTGAGCTCTATAAGAATTGCATCATACTGCATTACTTTTAGCAGTGTAATGAATATTATACTTTAAACTCTCGTCTACTAGATGTTTTTCTATTGTTTTACAAAGAATTTGTATGTTAATCTTTGTGTGTATTCTCAGTTATTTGAGTTATATTGATCACTTTCTCATTATCAGGGCAAGATACCCAACAGCCACAAAGTAAATAAAGGAGGAGAGGTTTATTTTAGCTCACAGTTTCAGTGAGTTCAGTTCATTGTCCACCAACCTCAGTGCAGAAGCCACATGATGGAAGGGTCAGAAAAGGAGTTCATATCATGGTGGTCAGGAAGCAGAGAGAAGGGAGGAGCTGTGGACCAGAATACACCGTTCAAAGCTACAGCCTGAGTGGCCCATCCCTCTGACTAGACTCTATCACCAAATGTGTGAAACTGACGGGGAACACTGTAGATCTAAGCTACAACTGCCTCCAGCCCCGCATAAGGTCTATGTCTGTCTCATTATGCAAAATACATTTAGACCATCTCTGAGGGTTGCCAAAGTCTTAATATTTCTAAGACTCCTGAAAAGTCCAACTCCAAAGTCTCTTCTGCAACTCAAGGAAAACTCTTAACTGGGAGCCCCCATAAAAATCAAAAACTAAATTAAATCCTTAATGTACAATGGCACAGGTTAAAAATTCCCATTCTAAAAGGGAGAAGTAGGGGAATAGACAGAAATCAGACCAGAGCAAGGCCAGAATCCAGCAGAGCAAACATGAAGCCCTGAAGCTTCATGCCCACCATCCTGGGCAGGTTGTGGTAAGGTGTGAGCCCCAAAGGGCTTGGACAGCCCCACCCGTATAATATTACCTGTTGCTGCTCACATGGCCTCTGTCTTGGGCTGACTTCAATCACTGTCTGCAGCTTTCCTTAGCTCACATTTCACATTCCTGACATCTCCAACTTCCTGCCATCTGCACTGCACTTTCAGCTTCATTCTCATAGTTTCATGCACTTCCTGGACTCCTGGCAGGGTCTGTGACTCTGTCACACCATTTGGCTGAACCTTTAAGGCCTTCTTCTGAAATCTGGAAGGAAGCTTCAGTTACCTCATAACTCTTACATGCTCTATACCTGAAAAACTAGCACCATGTGAATGATGTTCAAGTTGACTTCCAACTTTAGCCATATCCAGGTCCCCTTGGACCATGGATGCTGTAGCTTCTAGGTGCCTGGGTCTTGAACTCAGAGACATACTTCCCTAAGCAGCTCAAAATAAGCAGAAGTGCCAAGGAATATCTTCTTAAATGAAAAACTTACACTTTTACACCCTTGCGCCTGCAATGAGTAAAGCCTGGCCTATTTATGACTGCCCTCTAGGCCCAGCCCTTTTGACCAACCACTACCTCCAAATATAAGATTTTGGGGGAATATTTTAAATGTAAGCTATAACAGATGAATAATTTCAGGAGGTGAGACTGCTGAGTTAATTCATAAGGACACTTTTAAAATACATTTTTAATAATTGCACATTAGGATGTATGTTCATCTAGAAGATTTTAATAGATACTCAGATTTTCTTCCAGATATTTATAAATTGTTACTAGCTGTCCATCTTAATAGGTATAAAAATTTCCCAATGACCTATCAAATTTAACAAGTTCAAAACCAAATTCTTCAGTGTTTCTGGTTTCCCTAGAATCTGTCCTGTTCTTATCACACTGTGGTATTATTATCCCTCCTCTTCCTCGGACCCAACCCCTTGCAGTCTCTGCTTTGCACTGCTGCTTTGTATGCCCTATGCTCACACTTCTGCTTTGTATTCATATCCTATCATTTCTGCCTGTGTAGTATTCCTAAGTACATACCCTCCCTTCCATTCTTACAAGCATTGTACTAGTTCAACCCCTTCTATCAAGCAGCCATGACATAGCGACACAGCCTCCACACCACTCTCCTGTCTTCAGTCTCTTACTCTTCTAGTAATTTCTTCACTGTGTTACTTTCTCAAGACACAGACTTGACCCTCACACTCAAATGAAAGTATCAGCAGTGCCTGTATTGGTCAGCTTTCTGTCACAGTGACAAAATACTGGAGAAAATCAACTTACAGGAAGAAAGATTTATTTCAGCTTCTAGTATCAGACCATGGTTGGCTGGCTCCATTGCTTTTCAGCCTGAACAAGGCAGCAATATAGCAGAAAGCCCTGGCGAGGGAAAACTGCTTATCTCATTACAGCCAGGAAGCAGAGAGGAGGCAGGCACAGACCCGGAACAAGACCCAGTACCCAGGGCCCCCCAAAGGCCCACTCCCTTCAACGAGGTCCCACCTCCTAACTTCCATCAGCTCCCAGTAGCCCATCAGATTATGAACCAGTCGGTGGATCAGTGCCTTGATGAAGTCTCAGCCCTGGTGATGCATTATGTCTGAGCACTGCTGCGTTGAGGACTGAGCCTTCAACACAGGAGCCCTCGGAGGCCATTCCAGACCCAAACAGCTACAATGTTCATCTCGATTACTTTTTTCTCATTGCTGAGACAAAATGCCTGACACCCAAAGTTAAGGAAGGAAAGGTTTATTTAGCTCACAGTCTGTGGAGGTTTCAGTCCATACTCGGCTGGCTCCAAGGCAGAGTGGCACATGGCAAAGGGCAACCGTTCATGGTGGCAGAAAAAAGCAAAAGTAAAAAGAGCAAAAGGGAGCAGAAGTGGCAAGCAGCCTCCTTCCCTCCCTTACATTGTATGCAAACTACCCGCCCCAGGGCGGGTGCAGCACTCACACCCATAATCCCAGCATTGGACTATGGATCAATCATAAATCTAGGAGCCCACCCCATGACTGCATGAGGATTTAGGGGGACATGCAGACACATACCACAACAGTGTTCCATTACCCATGTCATAAAAGCCACAGTCCTCAGTTGTTGTGGACTAAGGCTTTGATCTAATTTAAGCTGTCTCTCTAGCTTTATTTCTTTGTGATACATTTTCTCCGCTCCTCCCCTATTCTAGTCAACCTAAGCTATGTGTTTTGTGTTATTTTCCTTGTTTGTGTTACTTCTTCAGCCTAAAATACCTTTCCTCTCCTCCTCTTTTCTGTCCTGTTGAAATACTCCTCATGCTTCAAGTTGCTCTAAGACTTCCAGCTCCTCAGTGGAGATTTACATCAATGTAGCATAGTTATATATAGATGAGTGAGGCCTGGATGTGTCTTTCAGAATGTTTTGAGTATCAGTATGTGCAAAAACATGTTTGTACATAATACTGGTAGAAAAAGACCACAAACTAAACATATCCACTGCAAACATATCCACTGCAATCTGATGCATAGTAAACTATACATCAGATACATAAATGCATATCTAGATATGTATGTCTGTTTCCACATACATGTATTTGGAGAGAGGCAAAGACAGAAACAGAGGTTGATAGGAAGAGAGAGAAGACATGTAAATACTTGAGCTTGGTGTTCAGTAAGCCATCTCAGATTCTTTGTGGAACCGGGTGGGATGAGCACTTTTTTAAAAAATTAATGATACTGATTAGGTTCATTTTCTGTCATGAAGAGGCTTACCTGGCCTTAAATAGGTTTCACCATATTTGGTCCAGTTGCAGAAGGCCAGCCTGCTATTCCTGTCTCCTTTTCGAGCATTGCCTGGATGAACTGGGAGACCCCTGTCCCTGTGCCAAAGTTGTCTCGTCATAGTCACAGGTGGTGCACATCCTGTCAACTGTAAAATAAAAATGTTGCACTAGATGATTGCTAGGTGAGCTGTGGTCACTAAGGTTCTTTCTAGGTCTTGGCTTCTGATATACTTTTTTTCATGTGACAGAAAAACAGTGGTTAAGGATAAAGGAAAGTGCTGATGTCCCTCGACTCTAGTACCCTCACTAATGTCACATAGCCAGTTGCCTTTTCCATAACTCTGAGCTGACAATATGTGCTATGTGACAATTCATACACTTGACTTCTAATCCAAGTACATCGCTACCTGTGTGCCCCCTTCTGTTTGTTTGCTTTGCTGTGAACAAGGGGGGGCTATGTGCTTTTACGATTCTTCGCAGCTTCAGGATATTATAATTTTATATTTAATACATTCGAACTGCCAAGTGTATTTTTCTTATAATCACTGTTTCAAAGAAAACTATTAAGACATAGATAGACTGGAACTACTCACAAAATGTTTCTCAATTTATAAAGTACTGTAGATAGCATCAAGGTATGCAAACAGATATGTGGGACTGAAAAGCATTCTGTTACTTTAATTTTCCATAGTAGTCTTCTTTTATGATGGATCTGTCTTTAACATTTTTTACTTTATCTGTGTACAAACAACTACAAATTTTAAAAGATATCTTGCAAAGAATTAAAATGTTCTTACAGATTGAAGTCAGTCTAATAGTAGTAGACAGTTATTTCAGAGTACGTGAAATCTGGTAGTCGTTGTAGCTTTCCTTTTTTAAAGAAAAGACTTAAAAGTCTTATTAAAGAAGAGAGCTCCATTTTAATTCCCAAGAGACAAACTACTCTTTGACATATGATATTTGAGTCAAGAGTGAGAGTTGAAAAGTTGCTTCTGGCAAACATAATTGTTACTGCTTAAACAAGTATTTCTTTCTAGCAATTAGAAATTTTTTCATTTTGATAGGTAGTCATAAATATTAACCACCAGCAAAGCAGAAATAATTCATACTCAAATTATCACACATCATTCCATGAACACATAAAATAATTTACATTTATTTGGAACATTTTATCCTAAAGTGCTGTACACATATTTCTTTGTAATCTGATTGCAAGCTATATATAGGACTGTACCACCTGAAATAGAGCAACAACCAGAGCAATAGAGAAAAGACATAAAAAATTGAGGATAGAAGGAAATGTAGTATTTTTTACTTTGCTTCTGTATGTGCTTGTGCCAACAGGATTGGAGGATCCATGTTGACCAAATGCACCAGCACAAAAGTGGAATTGAATCTGCTCTAAAGGAGACCAAGGTATGTGAATAACTTAAGATGACATATCATAGATATATTCATCTGTGGAACACCTATTATGGGAGAACAAAGGAAAAAATGACACAGTCCTTGCGTTTCAGGAGCCTATTGAGTATACCATATTACATTTCACAGTCCCCTACTTAAGCCAACTACTAAAGAGAGCTAAATGATTCTTTTTAAAATATATATTATGCATATATATCTAAGAGAGATTTTAGAAACATTTCATCACCTTCCCTGAATTTAATGGGATGCGAGAGCACCAGGCCACAGTGCCTGAAATTTACACTTCCGCCATGCCAGAAGTGACACCATGGAAAAGCAAAGCTTGAGTGAGAAGCTGCTGATCTCAGGCCGCAACTCCTGGCTCGGGGATCTACATTGCATTTTTCTTGAATTTTGAGGAAATCATTTTATTCCTTTACTTCCTTTGATTTAGAAATTTATGTAAAGCTAATTACAGTCATATAAATTGTAAAGATGCATAAAGCCAAATGAATTGACTAACCTATCAGGTCCTCTTGTTTTAACGTTCTGCAAAGTATGATTGAAATATTTCTCATCGTAAACTCTTTTTGTTAATGAAATTTCAAACTGTCTTCTTGTTCACGTGGCTAATCATTTGTGGGAGGGATTGAAAATTTTTTAAACTGTTTTTGAAAAATGTAGTTGTGAGTTATCTACTAAAATCCCATGGAATTTCTAGGGATTTTTGGACAAACTCCATAATGAAATTAGTAGAACTTTGGAGAAGATTGGCAGCCGAGAAAAGTACATCAACAATCAGCTGGAGCACCTGGTTCAGGAGCACCGTGCAGCGCAAGCCCAGCTGAGTGAGGTAATGTGGGAGTGGTTTCCAGGACCCGCTCCAGGTCCCGCCCCGACCCCGAAACTTGAAACGCTTTTTACTGGAGGGTTGTGAAATGCTTTTCACAATCAGCAACTCATTGATTCTCTGCCCAATTTAGGAAATCAAGTGAAGCAGCAGGGTAAGCCCATTTTCTGTGTAGTAGATACTCTCCTCTAGCAGCCTTTAAACATCTGTGAATTAAAGGAATAAGGTATAGGTCATGAGAGAACATGACTTAGAGTGAGAAGAGATCATCAGGACTCCTTGTTTTGTTTCGAGGTCTGGTTGCTAATGTACTGTAGGAGTAAGGAAAGCGCGCGCTTCCGTGTGTGTCAAAAGGAAAAGACAGTGCTTGCCGTAATGGCTCACAGCCACAAAATAAACAAAAGGAAAGCAAGGCAGGTTCCGAGACAGGCAGGTTACTTAATGAAATGAGACAAGTTTTTCATTCTTTCCAAGTTTTAGAATTTGAACAACAACCACTACTAGCCCTGGAAAGCAGTGGTTCTCTGTCGTAGCAGCAGGGACCTAAGGGCTTTCCTTAAAGATTTCTGCTCCGTGTGTCCTGACATTAAGGAAGGCTAGTTCACAGTACTTCCAAATGTCAATGGAAGGTGTGTGCTTCTTCTTTCAGCGCACAAAATTAGAAGGAGAAAAAAGCGGAAATAAATTTGAGATGCTTCTACACTTTGAGAAGTTCTCAAAGCCCAGATAGGAAGCAGCTTTTACTTTTCTATGTTACCTGCTTAATTTATTATTCTCTCATAGGCCCATCTATTCATGAATACTTTTACTTGAAAAATGATGTGAAACTCTCTGACTAAAGCCATAATGTATCTAACGTTAATACTGAACACTTGATCGTTAGATTAGCGTCTAAGAATATACTCTAGGTGATTGTACTGTCATACTCTTTGTTAAGCCTTAATCGCTGAGTTTGATGCTCTGCTTTGATGTTTTTAGAACTAATTTTCTGTGTGTAGCATGCACATTAGGTTGACCAACAACCACTCTCCTAAGCTGTTCAGGGATGGCTGAGGACAGTTATTATTGTGAACTACGCCCAAGAGAGTCACACAGGCAGTATGTGAAGGTTAGGTTATTGCGTCACTTTATAGTGCTTCAGTTAAATACATGGTGCCTACGAGGGACATAAAATAGTCACAGCTAAATGTCACTTCCACAAACAAGGAGGGGAGTCATCATCCAATGATATCTAGAAATCGCAAACACAAAGAGGTCACTGCTTCTGTTTCGGATTTGTCATTAAGCGAAATGTTTTCCTTCTCAGGCAAGAGAACGATACCAGCAGGGAAATGGCGGTGTGACGGAGAGAACCAGGCTCCTGGCTGAGGTACGCACCCGTGCATACCTGTCAGCTGGGCCCATCCACCTGCAGCTATGGCAGACTGAGTGCTTACTGCAGTAACTGCTTCCTCTAGCTTCAAATCAGAATCCCTCATTTGTTACCAAAGAGTCAATTATTTATCCTGTTCTTGTTTCCCTAAGATGCCTGAAGTTGCTATGTTAAACTGAACATCCAACTTGCTCATAATTAGCATGCAGATAATTTTTCGTAATCCTTACTTTTATATAATTATAATTAATATTTAGAGGAGTAGGTGAAGCGCACTGGGAATCTATAGCAAAGTTTAATGTTAGTCTATAAGATATAAGATTTACCTTCAGTGATTATTACTGATAACTTCCATGTGGTCCTGGATATATCTCGCTACAGTTAGCAGCGTGGCACAACCTCTTCATTCTGATAACTGCTAGAATATTTGCCCGTGCAAGTTTTTACACTTCTTTTCATGATCTTGCAAGAGAGGTGAAACCGTGTAGTCAGTCTTATTTTTCTCTGAAGAGCTGACAGATAGAGAAAAATAAAAACTTTATAATAAGGTTATAAGCCAATGTGGGACTAAAATCTAAGACTGCCTTGATAATTTTCACAAACTTTACTGTATTGACAGTAAAGAATTAAGCTTCTTTTATGGAGATTATTTCAGGAACAGATATCTTAAAATACTCAAAATATAACATTAGGTATATTTAGACTCTTAATCCTGTGATGCTTCTAGGCAAATAAAACATTACGTAGAAGTAAAGTGCTCACTTACATTAGGTAAATTAGCCCTTGAAGGGAGTCCAGGGATCCATTTCGCTCCTTTGGAGGAGGTAGTTATTCCCAGTTGTAGTGTTTCAGGTGCCTGAGAGAAATTAATTTGCTTTACTTGGATGAGCACTTTATTCCCAGGGAAAGTCTTACTCACCAGTATGGTAAACCTAAAACCTACTAAGTTACGATAATTATGGCTTACTCCTAGGTTATGTAATTTTTTTCAACTTTTAAAGATTATTTTTCTGTCTATAATAATACAGCGCTACTGTGGAATTTTGCTAATAGAGTCTGTAGTAGTATAATTTTAACGTAAAGTGCAGACAGGAATCAAAATGACTTTCTAGTATGCCTCTCAGAGTTTGGAGTTCCTGGTTGGAGCAGAACAGTCGAATATTTTATGTATAACCACACGATACAAGCATTTTTGTAGTGTCCTAGAAAGAAAAAGGTGGTATAGTCTCTTATAGAACTCTAATGGTAAGAAAGATACCTGCAAAATCTTTAGAAGTGCCACATCTCTTTAGGATGCTTATACTACTGTAATTAGCAACTAATTGTTAAAGAATGACATGGTAGATGCTGAGATAATTGCAGAGCTTGAGCATTTAAAACAGCCTGCTTTTTATAATGTTACGCCATGATAAGGCAGATAGGAAAGTAATTTGGTGAAGTTTAGCATAAGGAGCATTCTCAGAAGATAAAGATGTTTGTTCATCTATATGCTTTATCCTGTTTGAATTATGTCCAGAATATTCCTAATATTTTATTTCCCTTTGTCTGATATCTAAATTAATCCTTTTTGATATATCATTCAAAAGTTTTGAAAGTTTATTAAAAGTCAGTACTTAACGTGAGAAATGTTTTCAATGAAAGGTTACAGAAGAATTAGAAAAGGTAAAACAAGAAATGGAAGAGAAGGGCAGCAGCATGACTGACGGCGGTAAGTGCAGACGCATTTCTGGAGGAAAGGTGAGCGGGAGGACACTGCTCTGCGAGGGTGCTGCTTCAGGAAGCAGTGTACTAATAAGGGGAGAGTTGGCTTTTTAAAAGGAGCTACTTGCTGCTTATTTCAAGAGGGATACATGGTGCAAAAGTGATATGTGATCACTGATGTGCGGTGTTCCCTATAAATCAGCTAAAAGTAGTAGTTTTTCACTATAATTTATGGGATTTAAAAATTCAAACTTGATTCAAAGATAGAGTGAGAAATATTTAAGTACATACCTTGTTCTGCTAATTTACAAAAATAACATTTTGTGTTCCTCAAATGAGCTTCTTTTTTCCACTTTGTGTACTAAAGGGCACTAAGTATATGACTAAATGCTCTAAGGCAGTGATGCGGTGACCTTCTTTATTGTTTAACTCCCTCCCAGAAGACCTAATTGGGTGGAGGTCAAGTAGAGAAGAATTAATAGTCTTCTAATAATTGTCCTCCATTGTGAGCTAGGTACTTTGGCACGGGCTGGTAGGGATTGCTTAATGCTTTTATATATACCCCAGAAAGAGTTTCCAGCATTCCAATATATACTAAGTGGTTTTCATATAGAGATGTTCAGGGGCTTTTTATATGTTCTAAATAATAATTCTGTCTTCCTCTTTCTCCCACTGTGTCCACTTTCCCTGCAGCCATATATCCTAGCCTCCTAGCCCATAAAACCATGCTGAATACATCCTTAAATACCCGTTTAGCAACTCTTCCCCTCGAAATGTTAGTAAGTTCAGCCTCAGTACATCATTTCCCATCCTGGAAGTCTCAGGTGTTTCAAATGCCACAGGAAAACGATGTGAATGTCAGTGAGTTGTTGGCTGTGATTTTAACCCTATTTTTGGCTTAAGACAAAGTGAGGAAAATGTCATACAATTCTATAATAACAAATAAACATCTTCATTCCATGCTATTTTTATTTTGCAGCTCCTTTGGTGAAGATTAAACAGAGCTTAACAAAACTGAAGCAAGAAACCATTCAGATGGACATTAGGATCGGTGTTGTAGAGCACACATTGCTCCAATCAAAACTGAAGGAGAAGTCCAACATGACTAGGGACATGCATGCAACAGTTATTCCAGAATCAACAATGGGCGCTTATTAAAAACATACTGTTTTTCGTGCTTCGCATTAGTTGGTTTTTATATCAAATTTTATTTAATGTTACATAGATTCCCAAATGCATTTACACCTCCTATACCATGTTCAGTCCTACAGCATGTTCCATGGGTATTTTGGGGTATTATGTACACATCTTATATCATGATGATTATGACGGGTAAAACTTTACTTTGAATATAACGTTTAATAAAGTAATTAAAAATTCTCATGTTCAGAGAACCTTTCTCTAATCACTGCCTGTCCCAGAAACTCCCTCCTGGAAGCTCCTTCTTGGCATCCTGTGTGATCCCGTGTACTGCTGCCGTCACCCTGCACCACTGACACTAGGTTGGTCCCTTGGCTCTGGCCCACCTCTCTGTGACCATAGTGCTTCCGGGCCTGGAGGAACTAAGGAACACAGACTGCCCTTGCCTCAGCTTTCCAGTTGCCTTAAATTATCAATTTTTAGTGTTAAAAAATTTCAGTATCCTCGTTAACGTTTAACGTTTTTATTTCTCATGAGCAAAGGCCCTCATGAAAAGTTAATTAATTTAGTCATGTTTAACTACTCCTAGAATGAGGAAGGGGTGAGTACACGAACGTCTTGATACCACTCTGCCAGCTGTGCCAGGGCCATTTCATAGGTGCAGCCATGACAGGGCATCTAACAGCAACTCTTCAGAATCTGCCAAAACAAGCAGTATTAGAGTACCAACCCTAGAGCAGGAGAAAACCAGTCAAAGCAGAAGACAACCTACTCTGTTAGTTAAGTTTCTCCAGAGGAACAATCAGTAGAAAAATACGTATAGTTATATAAGGCAATTTATGAGGTAAGCTTAAGGATCACAGGCCGGAGAGCCCAGGGGTCTACTGTGGGATCAGAGGTGGAAGAAGCCACAGTGACCATCTGTGTGCCTGAGAGCTGCAAGATCCAGTGTCTGTTCAGCACAAGAAGATGGAAGCCATGGGGCTGGGGATTTAGCTCAGCAACACAGCGCCTACCTGGCAAGCGCAAGGTCGTCAGTTCGATTCCCGGTACTGGAAAAAAAAAAAAACAAAAAAAAACAAGATGGAAGCCACAGAACAAGAGTGATGAAGGACGCAACACCAGTCTGAGCTCAAAAGGCCTGGAAGCTCGCCATAGAGTCAGCAGCACCACTCTACACTGAAAGCCTGAAGAAACTGGAAACATAGCCAAAGGTGGTGGTGAAGGCCAGAGCTCTTCAAAACTAAGCACTTTTCTCTTTTTCCACCCAGGCTGGAAGCTCACTGGTTGGCGGCACCCACAGCCAGATGGGTCCTAGCCTCAGTTTGCTGGCCCATGGTCAGTTACTGTGCCCTCAGCACTGTGCCTCACAGAGGTACTAGAAGTCTTAGCCCATTTGCATTCACACACCATGATTAATGGTCACATCCGCCTTATTTCTGAAAACCTTCCTGACAGATGTGGAGGACCACCGCGTCATCCTCCCCAGACCCGAGTGCGATTGTGTTCACTTACGCGCAGTGCAGGCTGTGTAGAGCTGGCTTCCTAAGTTGGTTTTTGGCTTCATTAGTGAGTCCGGTGAGGCTGTGTACACATCTTCATGAAAGCAGGCGGCTGATGGTGGACTAACATAGTTTATTATCAGCGGCTGTGAGCGAGCTCAGATAGACAAACTGTGGTACCATGGGGCTAAGATGTGAGATAACGTCTCCGCTGAGGCCCGCACCACTCCAGAGGGAAATTCCTGCCCAGAACTGGCTACAGAGCAGGTTGCTTGTTAACGGCAATCCAAACCTGGCTGTTCCAGTCCCTTCCGCAAGAATGCTTTGTCCCCACTTGCAATCCCCCCAGCCGCGCTGCTTCCCTCCCACACTGTCGCTGTCCCCTCACCGTTTTCCTCAGTGAATAATGCCGAGGCGCTGGCTGCCCCAGGGCCTTTTGTTCCCGGGAACACCTGCTCATCCCGGGTCCCTGCCGCGCCTCTGTCGCATCTAGGCAAGAGATGAGAACTCACCCCAGGGGTCCCCGATAACCGGCACCGTGGCAAGGGTCGCTAGTAGACAAATTTTGAGGAAAATGTTTTATGTTCAGGGCAAAAAAGTAACATTTTAATCCTAATAATTTTCTCCTTTGCATTTACTTTCTAGACACCTTACCCCAATACACACACAAATCTTTTATTTTCCCTCAAACTGTCTAAGTTTAGGTAAGAGAAAACTGGTGTATATAAGCTGCTACCCAAGAGAATGACAATCAATATAATGACAAATAAGCCCGTTTACCTAATTTGTAAAGAAGAAAAAAAATCCATAGTGAGATAATAGGAAATGTGAGAATCTAACATTATCTCCATTCTTAATGGTCATTGGGAAGAGCCTAGCAGAAAAAATAAAACATAACTTTGGGTCCCGAGAACTCATTTGCATAGGAGTTCTCATGGCTGAGCGGTATTTTGATTAACTCCAGGCTGAGAGCTCTTCTCGATAAATCAGAGCTTTCCTTCAAATGTTATTTTTTCTCAGAAGCAAGGTGTTCTATTTTGTGCAAACACAAAAAAAGTCTAAGACCTCTTCAGTGTACGAGCAGCCTATATTTGTTTTCTTCTCTGAAATCATCCAATTTACTCAGGTTGGCTGTAGGTCCCTCCTCTTTTTCCACAGAATCCCGTGCATACATTGGATAAAGAATTGAAACTGCATGCAGGTTTTTTTCTCCTGTCCTCCCTACGGGATTATGCTGCTTGAGAGTATGGATGAAATCTCTTTCAGTTCCTTTCTAGCCACACACAGAGAGTGTCTAGTAAGTGGTTAGAAAGTGGACTGGTGGATGATTGGCATGGTGTAGTTCCGGTATCTTCTTGCTCCTATTTTGTAGCATGAAGAATTTAATGGCTTTAAGCCTCTGTGTTTGGGATAATAATTAAAATCATCGTTTTTTCTGTGGTATTTGGACTGGAATTGGAATCCGAATCCATTTGGAATCCAAGCTCAAATCCAAATGGATCATAATTCATTTTTTCCTGCCTACTGTGTTTTCCTAAAAATAAATCCTAACTGGAATGACCTAAGCAGATCCATCCCTAGGTGGTCTTTACCGTGGTGATGGCCGGTGTCGTGCAGAAGATTGTACTTCATCAATCTCGAGCTCTGTGGATACTCTATAATGGCAGATAAGACAAGGATAGGCTGATGGGGGCTGGCACTGTTTTCCCAGGGTAAGTCTTACTTTCAGGAAAACACAGTATAGGTCAGTAAAGCTTTACAATATATAAATAGAAAAACATAAATCTAGATATAAACACGTAATTTGTGGTGTTATCCTCTGAGAGTGCCTAAGAGCGGTGCCAGCCCCATAGATCTGTATGCGGTACCTAGCGCTCAAACCTCAGCATCTAAATTGTGCAAAGTACCTGACGGCCCAGAATAAAGCAAGGAGCAGAAATAATCCAAAAATGTCTTGCTCTGCCAGAAAGGACTCAAAGAACAGTGGGGAAGTGTTTAAAGGACACCGCTGGGTTCTGGGTAATGAGCATCACAGTGAGTCACAGTAATGAATTATAGTCTATAGAATAACCAAGGAAGTGGAGAGATGAGAAAGGTCTTCCTTAAAACCAAATGATAGCTAACATAAAAAGGATGCTGAATCTAAAAAGTCAGACCTGCCAGTGACCACATTTTCATGCAGACAAATCCTGGTAAATTGTTTGGGGTGAGAATCATCAGTGCTAAAAATAATAGATGAAAGGTTGAGAAACAGTATTTTTATAGCCTCAAAGTATGTAAGGTACTCCACAG